TATATAGCCTGTGTCCCGTGCTCCGCAGGTCACGCTAACCCGTACCTCGCTGTCATCCTGAACACTACTAGATGTTCCCGCGCCAGACACACTCTCGCCACCCCCAACGGCATCTTCCAGATGTGGCTGCATGATAAACAAGCCAATCAAAATATAGTAAGTCTCTCGATACTATACATCTCACAATAAGTGCAGAAACATTTAAGTGCTATTTCTGATCTGTTCACTACTCATTTGTCTTTGATTAGAAAATGGAGCTGTTATCTGGTAATGTTGATGAAGTCGTTTTGACGTCAATGACAGTGGCACTAAATTGCACGTTACCATTCTTATATTTATCTGTAGCATATGGATTTGTATTATAGTTGATAGTACAATTGTAACATATGTTATGTCTGTTATTACACCTTCTCAGTAAAGAACAGATTTTGTACTTGTATATAGGTTATTGGAACCAACACTGGCGCCTAATCCCCAGCATACATAATCAGCGATCTAAACCAAACTTTCACAAAAATATATTGATTGGTTTCATATTTACTTCAAATATTCAATGTCAGGTTTACCTGTGATATCATCCATTGCTACGGAAGGAAAGACAGAGGGCTGAATGGAAGTGTAATCAAATTCAATACTGACACAACTTATAATCATCATCATCATACACATGCTGGAAATGTCTGTGCACTTTCTGACATAGCGAATTGTAGTCGTCAACATATAGTCTCAACACTACATAAAACAATTAGAGAAATATCTGAGAATAGCGAGATATTGCCTAAACCAAATGATGAAGAAACCAGAGACACGTTGTGGCTTAAGAACAATCAGTCATGTATCTATTGGAACGGAATACCAAAGCCTCATGCTATTAGCAGGTTGACACAGGTATTCAGTCACCTGTGCGCCTTATCATCAACACACAACATCCGTTCATCCTGCTCAGGCATCGTCCTCTATAAGCACACTGTTGGCTCTGTCGGTGGCATATAGACACATCCTATCATGCAAGTTGTTCTGATTAAGGCGTCAACGACGGAAAGGCGGGTGTAGTTGTAGAGTTGTAGTTGTGTTGACATGTTCCCAACATAGACGTCGTTAATATCACTGAGCCTGGTGTGTTGATGACGACAGAACATCCTGTGTTTCAGAACAAGTTTATAACTAGCCAGTGTAATGCTAGTAGTGACCAGTACGTTGCCATTGACTACCATTACGTCACTAGGACCTTCTATATAACCAACATCGGTCAACGCATTATTGAGGTAGGTCGCCACCAGTCTGCCATTCCCATCCTGTGTGTGCGTGAGTGCGTGTGCGTATGTATTCTTTCAAATTGCACAAGATTTATAAACACATACTAAGGATAAATGAGTTATTATGATTGGATGCCAAACGCTCGACCACACGACTAAACCTCGCTGAGGTTGAGGCAAAGTACTATCATTTCCCAGATTGATAAATGTAGTTTATGAAGTACACTATGTACAATGTAATGAAGTTAATATGACCTGTATTTCTTCATCGTAGGCCTATGACATCCGAAACGCCAGAAGCGGCAACAGATACCGGAAGAGGCCGGTGTTCAAGGGTATATCCACAAAGACCACAGGTGACTGAACTCCTGTTCAACATAGCACCTAGGACTGAGTCTTCATGTTATGTTTGCTGCTGTTACTGTAGATGAATTGTGAAGCTAATGCCCTGGAGAGGTAGCTATGGCACAGACACTTTCTGTTCCGGTATAACCTAGTGATATGAATGTCCTTGGGAGATAGCCATAGACTCTTTCTGTTCCGGTATAACCTAGTGATATGAATGTCCTTAGGAGATAGCCATAGACTCTTTCTGTTCCGGTATAACCTGGTGATATGAATGTCCTTAGGGATAGCCATAGACTCTTTCTGTTCCGGTATAACCTAGTGATATGAATGTCCTTAGGCGATAACCATGGATTCTTTCTGTTCCGGTATAGCCTAGTGATATGAATGTCCTTGGGAGATAGCCATAGACTCTTTCTGTTCCGGTATAGCCTAGTGATATGAATGTCCTTGGGAGATAGCCATAGACTCTTTCTGTTCCGGTATAACCTGGTGATATGAATGTCCTTGGGAGATAACTCATGGACTCTTTCTGTTACGGTATAGCCTGGTGATATGAATGTCCTAGGGAGATAGTGAAAGACTCTTTCTGTTCCGGTATAACCTTGTGATATGAATGTCCTAGGGAGATAGTGAAAGACTCTTTCTGTTCCGGTATAACCTTGTGATATGAATGTCTTAGGGAGACAGTGAAAGACTCTTTCTGTTTCGGTATAACCTTGTGATATGAATGTCTTAGGGAGACAGTGAAAGACTCTTTCTGTTCCGGTATAACCTAGTGATATGGCAGCACCTGTATAAGCTTACGCAAGCAGCAAAGACGTCATGTGACATACGTAACTTAAAATAACATTTTTACATGCATTTTCCAAATACATGCTAGAGGGTATATCCCTCATTCGAACTGGACACAATGTATATACTTACGTCTGTTTATCAGTGCGACGGTGTCTAATATAGTGGTGACTGTTCCACACATGATGTGGACACAATGTATATACTTACGTCTGTTTATCAATGTGACGGTGTCTTATATACTGGTGACTGTTGAACACATGATGTAGACACAATGTATATACTTACGTCTGTTTATCAATGTGGCGGCGACTTATATACTGGTGACTGTTCAACACATGATGTAGACACAATGTATATACTTACGTCTGTTTATCAATGTGGCGGTGTCTTATATACTGGTGACTGTTCCACACATGATGTAGACACAATGTATATACTTACGTCTGTTTATCAATGTGACGGTGTTTTATATAGTGGTGACTGTTCCACACATGATGTGGACACAATGTATATACTTACGTCTGTTTATCAATGTGACGGTGTCTTATATACTGGTGACTGTTCAACACATGATGTAGACACAATGTATATACTTACGTCTGTTTATCAATGTGACGGTGTCTAATATAGTGGTGACTGTTCCACACATAATGCGGACACAATGTATATACTTACGTCTGTTTATCAATGTGGCGGTGTCTAATATACTGGTGACTGTTGAACACATGATGTAGACACAATGTATATACTTACGTCCGTTTATCAATGTGACGGTGTCTTATATAGTGGTGACTGTTCCACACATGATGTGGACACAATGTATATACTTACGTCTGTTTATCAATGTGACGGTGTCTTATATAGTGGTGACTGTTCCACACATGATGTAGACACAATGTATATACTTACGTCTGTTTATCAATGTGACGGTGTCTTATATACTGGTGACTGTTCCACACATGATGTAGACACAATGTATATACTTACGTCTGTTTATCAATGTGACGGTGTCTTATATAGTGGTGACTGTTCCACACATGATGTAGACACAATGTATATACTTACGTCTGTTTATCAATGTGACGGTGTCTTATATAGTGGTGACTGTTCCACACATGATGTAGACACAATGTATATACTTACGTCTGTTTATCAATGTGACGGTGTCTTATATCCTGGTGACTGTTGAACACATGATGTGGACACAATGTATATACTTACGTCTGTTTATCAATGTGACGGTGTCTTATATAGTGGTGACTGTTCCACACATGATGTGGACACAATGTATATACTTACGTCTGTTTATCAATGTGACGGTGTCTTATATACTGGTGACTGTTGAACACATGATGTAGACACAATGTATATACTTACGTCTGTTTATCAATGTGACGGTGTCTTATATAGTGGTGACTGTTCCACACATGATGTGGACACAATGTATATACTTACGTCTGTTTATCAATGTGACGGTGTCTAATATAGTGGTGACTGTTCCACACATGATGTAGACACAATGTATATACTTTCGTCTGTTTATCAATGTGACGGTGTCTAATATAGTGGTGACTGTTCCACACATGATGTAGACACAATGTATATACTTACGTCTGTTTATCAATGTGACGGTGTCTATATATAGTGGTGACTGTTCCACACATGATGTGGACACAATGTATATACTTACGTCTGTTTATCAATGTGACGGTGTCTTATATAGTGGTGACTGTTCCACACATGATGTGGACACAATGTATATACTTACGTCTGTTTATCAATGTGACGGTGTCTTATATACTGGTGACTGTTCCACACATGATGTAGACACAATGTATATACTTTACGTCTGTTTATCAATGTGACGGTGTCTTATATACTGGTGACTGTTCCACACATGATGTGGACACAATGTATATACTTACGTCTGTTTATCAATGTGACGGTGTCTTATATAGTGGTGACTGTTCCACACATGATGTGGACACAATGTATATACTTACGTCTGTTTATCAATGTGACGGTGTCTTATATAGTGGTGACTGTTCCACACATGATGTAGACACAATGTATATACTTACGTCTGTTTATCAATGTGACGGTGTCTTATATAGTGGTGACTGTTCCACACATGATGTGGACACAATGTATATACTTACGTCTGTTTATCAATGTGACGGTGTCTTATATAGTGGTGACTGTTCCACACATGATGTAGACACAATGTATATACTTACGTCTGTTTATCAATGTGACGGTGTCTAATATAGTGGTGACTGTTCCACACATGATGTAGACACAATGTATATACTTACGTCTGTTTATCAATGTGACGGTGTCTTATATAGTGGTGACTGTTCCACACATGATGTAGACACAATGTATATACTTACGTCTGTTTATCAATGTGACGGCGACTTATCCTGGTGACTGTTCCACACATGATGTAGACACAATGTATATACTTACGTCTGTTTATCAATGTGACGGTGTCTTATATAGTGGTGACTGTTCCACACATTATGTGGACACAATGTATATACTTACGTCTGTTTATCAATGTGGCGGCGACTTATACTGGTGACTGTTCCACACCGTACTGGGCGGACCCAGCGTACGACGCCATCTTTATGACGGCCTCTGACGGGAGCTGTCAGCTGTTTCAGTGTGCCACCATTGTTGTCGGTAGTGATCTTGACACTCCAACTGGACTTGCTGTTCAACCGTATATAGGGTATGTAGTTCACCTGTCGAAGCTCATTTAGTTTACAAATCTTGGAGTCTAATTTTACCGTTGCAAGCTTGCAGCGTCATTGGACGGAATCAAGTAATTGAACGCAGCTTTTCCAACATTGGAAGGCTGTAATGATGGGAGGCAACAACGCCTATTAAAACAGTATAAGGATAACACCATGGTCTGTTTGTAATGGATATTTCATGATATTCCCTCAAGTGTATGATCATTTCAGTCGCATCTTCTGGTCGGACGGCCGTCTGCTGGAATCTGCCCTTCTGGATGGAAGTAACCGGACATTGTTGAGGAATGACCTTGTGCGGCCGAAGGGGATGTGTATCGACTACCGCACCAACAGGTGGGTTGTTGCCCTGATAGAGAGGCAAGGGCAAATATAACTAAATAGTGATTTAGACTTTGGAAATTTTTTCTTCGCATGAGTGTGTTACCACAGGTTTGAATTCTATATTACAAAGTGCACAGGTGGTCAAGAAAGTGTAATCGCATCGGATGTACAAAGTAGCTGGTAAGGTCAAAATGTTCGAACCCAAAACTCATTCCGGTTGTGATCGCTGCTCCTTCAGGCCCAGTCAGACATCCGCTACCAGCATCACTCTTGTCTCTCCTCCCACGTGAGCCTGACACGTTGTGATATAATCCAGTTACAAAACATACTCTCTCACTGTACTTTGGAGACTGTATTTGATTGAGCAGGATGTCTCCGAGAGCGTGAGCCTGACACGTTGTGATATAATCCAGTTACAAAACATACTCTCTCACTTTACTTTGGAGACTGTATTTGATTGAGCAGGATGTCTCCGAGAGCGTGAGCCTGACACGTTGTGATATAATCCAGTTACAAAACATACTCTCTCACTTTACTTTGGAGACTGTATTGGATTGAGCAGGATGTCTCCGAGAGCGTGAGCCTGACACGTTGTGATATAGTCCAGTTACAAAACACACTCTCTCACTTTACTTTGGAGACTGTATTGGATTGAGCAGGATGTCTCCGAGAGCGTGAGCCTGACACGTTGTGATATAATCCAGTTACAAAACACACTCTCCCACTGTACTTTTTCAGACTGTATTGGATTGAGCAGGATGTCTCCGAGAGTGTGATACGATCAACCACCCTAGAAGGAGGGGATCAAGAAGTTGCAGTTCGACGGCCGGACAGTCAGCTCTTTGACCTAGACATATACCAGGTGCGTACACCTCAGGGGATCCTACCCAGAGGGACAATGTAGAAAGGAACAATCACAACACCTTATTCTCGGCTAATTAGTCAGCTTAATTAACTGCCATAAAGGATCATGGTGATATTTAGTCACATGAACCGAGAAGGATATTATCTAAATATAAGTGATGTGTCTCCTGTGTACATTGACACATTCAGTTGAACAGGAATAGTGTTGTCTTTGTCAGACGACACAAATGTCACAGCGGCGGGGGTGCTACACTTTGTACCCATTGACAATAACATCAGAGCTGGAGTACGACGTGTTACACATTGTGCCGACTGACAATAACATCAGAGCGAGGGGATGACGTGTTACACATTGTACCCACTGACAATAACATCAAAGATGGAGTATGACGTGTTACACATTGTACCTACTGACAATAACATCAAAGATGGAGTATGACGTGTTACACACTGTACCTACTGACAATAACATCAGAGCGAGGGGATGACGTGTTACACACTGTACCCACTGACAATAACATCAAAGATGGAGTATGACGTGTTACACATTGTACCCACTGACAATAACATCAGAGCGAGGGATGACGTGTAACACACTGTACCCACTGACAATAACATCAGAGCTGGAGTATGACGTGTTACACATTGTACCCACTGACAATAACATCAGAGCTGGAGTATGACATGTTACACATTGTACCCACTGACAATAACATCAGAGCTGGAGTATGACATGTTACACATTGTACCCACTGACAATAACATCAGAGCTCGAGTATGACATGTTACACATTGTACCCACTGACAATAACATCAGAGCTCGAGTATGACGTGTTACACATTGTACCCACTGACAATAACATCAGAGCTGGAGTATGACGTGTTACACATTGTACCCACTGACAATAACACACACACTGTACCCACTGACAATAACATCAGAGCTTGGGTATGACGTGTTACACACTGTACCCACTGACAATAACATCAGAGCGAGGGTATGACGTGTTACACATTTTTCCTTCCAGCATGTGACAGCAGGGAACATGATGGAGTTAGATATTGTTCTCGTTGACATGGAAACTAGGCTGTTTTGCTAACAATCAATCGCTTGCCTATGAACCCCTTAAACTTAGACATGAGTAACAAGTCATGCAACATATGGTGGCATCCTTACCTTGTCAGCTGACGAAGTTGACCTCTTTGGTCATGTGGACAAGGCGTCAACAGAACTTGGTCGCTACATATAGTTAAGGGTAGGTTCTACTTTAGGGCTGGATTGTCACGACGGATGAACAACGTGGAGTCATCGCCATTTACGACGTTGCTCGCAACAGGTCGCAGGAGAAGGCGTGGGGAGGGAAGCCGCTCGGTATCGTCATTGACGGCAAGGACGTCTCGGGAGAAGGTGATTGTTATCATTGTACTTAGTATCACATCTGATTGGTCTTTTTGTAATGATCAAAACAGAGTGAAAGTCCAAATAGAATATTATGTCGAGTTATCCAATGGTTCCAGAGAAGCAGTACATTGCCTTTGGACGATAGTGGGTATACAGATATATCGAATGAATGTAACTCGGCGAAACAAGGGCCGTATCTGCCTATTCACGTGTTAGCATCTTGTATACTGATGTACATACTCCGCGAACAGACGCCAGTTGAATTTCGGCCGTCTCCACTCACTCACCCTGGACGTCTGTTTCTGTTAGTGGTCCCCCAGAACACCAACAACTCTCCCAGCAACAGGGGCGTCATTCTTCTAGCGACGTCTACCGACATCTACCGAATGAATCGGAACTTCGCTGACGTGAAGGACGAAGAAAACCTCGTCCATCTTCCCCTACATCCGCAGATGAACGTGTACGCCATGACAGCCAACGCCCACACCGACTACATCTACTATTACGAAGAAGCACGAAAAGAAGGGGTACTCTATACCGATTAAATCTTTCTTGAACATGTGACTTTAAATTTGAACACTTTTTTTTTAAAGAATACATACGAATATATGTCTGCTGATAGTAATAGTTAAATTCTGTCTTGAAATATTATTCTCAAGGTATGCTAATCAACTTATTTTTGCAACGAGATGGACAAAAACAAACTTGTCGTTAGCCTGTCTGGCGCTCAGCTATCAGGGCATGCAACAAGAAGGTGTGACTCGGAGTCTGTAGAATGTGTCTGGAGCGTGTATCTATAGTGACGTACGGCCTGGTAACTAGTAGGCTTTGATTCAGACCTTTATCAGGACCACAGACAGACATACACACGTCCCCATATAAATGCAGCAGTCTTAAAGACGACGTTTAACCTCACTCTACCTCACCTAATGCTACTGTGTTCACGTGTCTGTATAACATGCATGTACACCGTGTGTTGATGGTATGCTCTGCTCAACCGTTCAGAGAATCATGCGTGTGGAGATGAACCTGAGGCGTGGTAAGAGCGAGGGCCAGTTCACACCGGAACCACTCACCAACGCCGCCGTAAAAGAGGTGTCGGGTAAGCGCCCCTCTTTCTTACTATTGCATGAACTAGAGATTCATCTTACATATAATTCCGTTCCAGATCCACATGTCCGCCGTAAGAGTCGACTAAACATCTACCTGGGATATGTTTGACAAAGATATCATACCGCTACGATTGTCGTGGGTTTAAGTCAAACAATGTCGCTTTGTAGGTCCGTTTCCGACTGTATGGGCTGGTTCCAACTGAATACCATACATTCATTTATTTATACGAGTGAGAGGTTTACTTTTACGTCACTTTTAGCAATAATCCAGCAATATCACTCTGGGAGACTAGAAATGGGCTTCACTCATTGTACCCATGTGACGAATCGAACCTGGGTCTCCAGTGTGACGAGAGAACGCTTTACCCACAATGCTACCCCACCACCCCTCATTCATACTATAGCTACGAGAGTTAATTGGCAGGTTCTGCGCCTCAAATACAAACACGTTACCCAAAGACATCAAAATGATAGCATTTATAGCATTACCCGCTTGGAGTTGGGGAGATTTAAATTGCAATTTCGAATTACTGCTTCTATTGGGAAACACATGGAAGCACGATTAGGAGAATAAGGTGCTGAAAGATATATTCAACGCAATATTTATTTTTGGTAGCCATGATAATGAATTTGTGCACATCTGTTATTGATTTCATCTCATATATAATTATCCCACATGTGCAGCATTACACGCCACGTGTACTGTATAGCTCTTTGAGAGATATTCTACCCTGATGACACCCAGGCCACCAAATAACCCGAAAGCCAATACCCAGCTTTGAGAGATATTCTACCTTGATGACACCCTGGCCACCCAGTAACCCGGAAGCCAATATCATGCTTTGCGAGATATTCTACCACGATGACACCCTGGCCACCCAATAACCCGGAAGCCAATATCCATCTTTTGGAGATATTCTACCTTGATGATACCCTGGCCACCCAATAACCCGGAAGCCAATATCCAGCTTTGAGAGATATTCTACCCTGATGACACCCTGGCCACCCAGTAACCCGGAAGCCAATATCCATCTTTGAGAGATATTCTACCATGATGACACCCTGGCCACCCAATAACCCGGAAGCCAATATCCATCTTTGAGATATATTCTACCATGATGACACCCTGGCCACCCAATAACCCGGAAGCCAATATCCATCTTTGGGAGATATTCTACCTTGATGACACCCTGGCCACCCAGTAACCCGGAAGCCAATATCCAGCTTTGGGAGATATTCTACCTTGATGACACCTTGGCCACCCAGTAACCCGGAAGCCAATATCCATCTTTGAGAGATATTCTACCATGATGACACCCTGGCCTTCCAGTAACCCGGAAGCCAATATCATGCTTTGAGAGATATTCTACCATGATGACACCCTGGCCACCCAATAACCCGGAAGCCAATACCCAGCTTTGAGAGATATTCTACCTTGATGACACCCTGGTCACCTAGAACCCGGAAGCCAATATCATGCTTTGCGAGATATTCTACCATGATGACACCCTGGCCACCCAGTAACCCGGAAGCCAATATCCAGCTTTGGGAGATATTCTACCTTGATGACACCCTAGCCACCCAATAACCCGGAAGCCAATATCCATCTTTGAGAGATATTCTACCCTGATGACACCCTGGCCACTCAATAACCCGGAAGCCAATATCCATCTTTGAGAGATATTCTACCAAGATGAGACGCTGGCCACCTAGAACCCGGAAGCCAATATCGATCTTTGGAGATATTTCTACCATGACGACACCCCGTGGCCACCCAATAACCCGGAAGCCAACATCCATCTTTGGGATATATTTCTACCATGACGACACCCCGTGGCCACCCAATAACCCGGAAGCCAATATCCATCTTTAGGAGATATTTCTACCATGTTTGACTTGATTATGTTACAGCAAATGTTTCCACTATTTTCATTCACAGCCATTAACTTTTGCAAGTACGTTTCTAGATCAGTTACAGACAGAGTTAGGTTATGATTAGGACAGTTTGTTTCACTGGACTCTCGTCTACGGAATTCCTACTGAACTCGCAATATGACGCTCAACCATCCGCTTGTTGGTCGTCACTTTATCGTGTTTCTCATGTCTGGAGTTGCTGACTTCACTAGCCTCCCAGGAGGCTCTCCTTGCCACGCCTATGAGCTCTTTTCCACACGTCATTATGGTGGCATGGGGCCTTCTTCCCTAGTGTTTTACTTGTATCTTTCAGCCATTGTTTCAAGTGGTTCATCATTCTATGTTCTATGTTTGCATATTTTTCAAAGGTCACAGACCCCTGAATATTTTGTTGACTTGTCACAGGGATAATAGATTGCTCCATTTATTTTGAACTTTGACATAATGTATTGCAAACAACAAAAGATTTTTTTAATATTAGGCTAATCATTCTATTTGAGAGTCACAACGTATAAATCAGCAAATGTAATGTTATGCCATGGGTCAGATTTGTAAATTTTAATAATGAGGTTTTAACTCACCTAGCTTCTAACGGAATGTATTGAAAAAGAGAATGGAATGCTTCCAATCCTACTGTACAGCCCTATCTTACTGTGTGTTTATCAGGCCCAGGCAAATAGATTTCTGGTAATAGGATCAAAGTCTGCACTAATGCTAAGAACTTTCTTTCAGATTTGTCCATCGACTGGCTGACCCGAAACTTATACTGGTCAGACAAGGGCAATCGGCAAATCGTGGTGGCCCGTGAAGACGGCCGATTCCCTGCTGTTGTTGTGGAAGGTCACCTGAAGATTCCGCGGACTGTTGTGGTGGACCCGATCAACATGTAAGATTGAGGTTTTGAAAACTCACATGGAATATGGTATATGGTATATGCACATGGGCGTTAACTAAGTACCAGCCGAATCCCTAGGCAGTTTTAAACGTTTGCTCCAAATAGACTACTTGAATAAAAAAAAAAACCTCTTATTGTATACTAGTAATAGCGAGGTTTCGGTATAGATACTTACACCGTTTTCAAGCATTTTACTTACTATTACTTCCTATTACTTACAACAAAAATGCCTTTCAAACAGTACATTCGCCGTGTACATGGAGACGTGGCAATACGCAACATGCTTGAAAACGGTATAAGTATCTACAGTACAACCAGAAATTATTGAGAATTTAAAGATTGTAATTTTAAAAAAGAATTCACTCATTACTCACGTATTAAATGTGAATATTAGCAGAACATAACTCCAGATTCAAAGACAGGTGAACAGTTAGTATTTGTCAAGTCACCATGGGCAGCAATGCAGGCTTCAATGCGGCGGGGCATACTACTGATCAAAGAAGTTAGAAAGTCGTGGTCCATGCTGTCCCAATATCGGACCACCTCTTCTTTCATTTCAGCAATATTTGTCAGATTTTTCTTATTGACACTTTCCTTCATAAGTCCCCAAACATTTTCTATTGGATTTAGGTCAGGGCTATAGCTTGGCCAATCTAATAATGTCATATTTTTGGTCCGAAACCAGGCCTGTGAATGCTTTGAACGATGTTTTGGGTCGTTGTTTTGCTGGAAAATATTTTTTTTTTTTGCATAGAACACGTGAGCAGATGGAAGTAAATGTCCCTCGAGAATATCTGTGTACCGCTCACTGTTCATATTCCCTTCAAATACACAGAGGGGCGTTGTCCCTAACACAGATATGCCACCCCCACACGTTAAATTTCGGACTGTACTTTGGGCGCTGATACAAAGGTTTTTCAGTTTGTTTGGTCCAGGATTTTAGTGTATTAGGAAACATCCACACAGAACTTTCATCTGAGAAAATCACATTGTCCCAGTTAAAATTTCTATGCTGTAAGCACCAGTTCAACCTTCGCTCCTTTTGTTCAGTTTCATTATCGGTGATGGAATTCCTCGACTTTTCTGCCAACCCATTGCATGCAGCTTAGTACTAATTGTCTAATTACAGACAGCCACAGTTCCTCTATCAATCATATCCAGCCTTAAGTTTTCTAAACTCCTTCGTTTGTTTTTAGGAACAAGAATACCAAGCCGCCTCCTGTCACCGACAGTCAATTTTCTCGGCCTACCTGCGCCTCCCTGGTGCTAAATGCCATATCCATTTGCAATATTTTTCAAAACACGATAAAGAGTGGACAAAAGGATGCCTGTTCTACTTGAAATCACTTTAGCTGATCTAATGTCCTTGTTATAATACTCTAAAATCAACTTCCTCTTCTCTAAATCATCCATACTGAGGATCACTGAAAATGTCGTCTGCTAGCAAGTAGACAAAGGGGGATAACTCTTCACAAACTAATGAAAAAGGATTAACGGAGTTGTCTCTCTTGAATGAAACAAAGCACTTGATAGCTGGTGAAGGTTGTTTATACTAGAAATCCAATTGAACATATTCCTAAAATTCTCAATAATTTCTGGTCATACTATATATATCCATAAACGCTGTTCAAAGCGGGCCGGAAATTCCTCCCTGCGTCATTTACTTTAGTTTCATATTCAGATACACAGTGGTCTACTGAGAAAATCCCTGCAATGTTTTCAGGTTCATATTCTGGGGTGACCAGCTGAACATCGGGCGAAGTGGTCTGGATGGAACGGAAGTGGAGTACAGCCTGTTCCGAGTTAACCATCACAACCATCGAATAGCAGTGGATCCGAAAACACGTCGGTAACAGAACAAAACATTCTTTAATGGGGTTTGCCAGAAGCTCAACTGAAACACTAGTCCCATCTGAGCTGTAAACTCTTGATCAGAAAACAGAACAGAATATATTTCACGATCATTCCCATATAACATAGTTACTGCAACCCTCCCTAAACACCTGTCGTGTTCTCTGGTCAGGTACAGTTGTTACTGCAACCCTCCCTAAACACCTGTCGTGTTCTCTAGTCAGGTACAGTTGTTACTGCAACCCTCCCTAAACACCTGTCGTGTTCTCTAGTCAGGTACAGTTGTTACTGCAACCCTCCCTAAACACCTGTCGTGTTCTCTGGTCAGGTACAGTTGTTACTGCAACCCTCCCTAAACACCTGTCGTGTTCTCTAGTCAGGTACAGTTGTTACTGCAACCCTCCCTCAACACCTGTCGTGTTCTCTGGTCAGGTACAGTTGTTACTGCAACCCTCCCTAAACACCTGTCGTGTTCTCTAGTCAGGTACAGTTGTTACTGCAACCCTCCCTAAACACCTGTCGTGTTCTCTGGTCAGGTACAGTTGTTACTGCAACCCTCCCTAAACACCTGTCGTGTTCTCTAGTCAGGTACAGTTGTTACTGCAACCCTCCCTAAACACCTGTCGTGTTCTCTGGTCAGGTACAGTTGTTACTGCAACCCTCCCTAAACACCTGTCGTGTTCTCTAGCCAGGTACAGTTGTTACTGCACCCTCCCTAAACACCTGTCGTGTTCTCGTGTTACTGCAACCCTCCTAAACACCTGTCGTGTGTCCTCTAAGCACCTTGTCGTTTTCTCTCTGCAACCTCCCCAAACACCTGTCGAGTTCTCTGGTCAGGTCTAAACACCTGTCGGTACAGTTGTTACTGCAACCCTCCCTCAACACCTGTCGTGTTCTCTGGTCAGGTACAGTTGTTACTGCAACCCTCCCTAAACACCTGTCGTGTTCTCTCTGGTCAGGTACAGTTGTTACTGCAACCCTCCTCAACACCTGTCGTGTTCTCTGGTCAGGTACAGTTGTTACTGCAACCCTCCCTAAACACCTGTCGTGTTCTCTGGTCAGGTACAGTTGTTACTGCAACCCTCCCTAAACACCTGTCGTGTTCTCTGGTCAGGTACAGTTGTTACTGCAACCCTCCTAAACACCTGTCGTGTTCTCTGGTCAGGTACAGTTGTTACTGCAACCCTCCTAAACACCTGTCGTGTTCTCTGGTCAGGTATAGTTGTTACTGCAACCCTCCCTCAACACCTGTCGTGTTCTCTGGTCAGGTACAGTTACTGCAACCCTCCCCTAAACACCTGTCGTGTTCTCTGGTCAGGTACAGTTGTTACTGCAACCCTCCCTAAACACCTGTCGTGTTCTCTAGCCAGGTACAGTTGTTACTGCAACCCTCCCTAAACACCTGTCGTGTTCTCTAGCCAGGTACAGTTGTTACTGCAACCCTCCCTCAACACCTGTCGTGTTCTCTAACCAGGTACAGTTGTTACTGCAACCCTCCCTCAACACCTGTCGTGTTCTCTAGCCAGGTACAGTTGTTACTGCAACCCTCCCTCAACACCTGTCGTGTTCTCTAGCCAGGTACAGCTGTTACTGCAACCCTCCCTCAACATCTGTCGTGTTCATCTAGCCAGGTACAGCTGTTACTGCAGCCCTCCCTCAACACCTGTCGTGTTCTCTGGTCAGGTACAGCTGTTACTGCAGCCCTCCCTCAACACCTGCCGTGTTCTCTGGTCAGGTATAGCTGTTACCGCAGTCCTCCCTCAACATGTGTTCTGTATTATGAGTTCCTGCTGGTGTCCCAAGCACTATTACAGCTATACAGTGAAGACACGTCTAATGTTATACCCTGTGTTCGCAGTATCTACTTCAGCGACACTATCATCCTCTGCCACGTCGACTACCTCGGTCAAGGCCAATCCTGCAGCTCTCGGTTGAACTCTAGGATACTCGTCAACAGTCTCGCCATCATGAACGTAAGTTGCGCTTCTCAATATGTTAGGTTACGGGTGATCTACTGTAATTCTACGATGTAATTTTCCGCTGTGTCCAAACACTTGATTATACACGATTATGGCCTTTGGGACTTAACCCCGGTTATAGGCGGACCGTACTGGACGTCTACGAACACCGTTTCTTCAGGCTTTCCGTTGAACAGTTTTGCTGTGACATAAAGTAAATATATTTCCAAGAAGTGTGGAATACGGCTCAAGACGGCTCTGTAACGCCACTCACTGGCCAACACTGAACCGTGCGTGTAATTAGCGTAAACACTGCCAAAGAGGCAGTAAACACGTTAACATTAGTAAACAAACTAAATGGTAACTTCTTCTACAAACGACACATGAAAAAGTAAACAGATTCCTTGAAAATCATCAACATTGGCATTCATAACTTTCACGTCTCCCAGTTCCAAATGATCAGTTTTATCCACTGGCCTCACTCCACTATGGTCTATTTATATGAAAGTATGCTTGTCACAGGACTACATCATCTGGTCGAGTATCAGTGGTGGGGTGTTTTACCCACTTGCCTCACTCCACTATGGTCTATTTATATGAAAGTATGCTTGTCACAGGACTACATCATCTGGTCGAGTATCAGTGGTGGGGTGTTTTACCCACTTGCCTCACTCCACTATGGTCTATTTATATGAAAGTATGCTTGTCACAGGACTACATCATCTGGTCGAGTATCAGTGGTGGGGTGTTTTACCCACTTGCCTCACTCCACTATGGTTTATTTATATGAAAGTATGTTTGTCACAGGACTACATCATCTGGTCGAGTATCAGTGGGTGGGTGTTTTACCCACTTGCCTCACTCCACTATGGTTTATTTATATGAAAGTATGCTTGTCACAGGACTGTCATCAGGACTAGTATCAGTGGGTGGGTGTTTTTACACTTGCCTCTATGGTCTAGTATCATGCTTGTCACAGGACTATATCATCTGGTCGAGTATCAGTGTGGTGGGGTGTTTTACCCACCTCACTCCACTATGGTCTATTTATATGAAAGTATGCTTGTCACAGGACTACATCATCTGGTCGAGTATCAGGGTGTGGTGGGGTGTGGGGTGGGGTGTTTTACCCATTCTGCCTCACTCCACTATGGTTTATTTATATGAAAGTATGTTTGTCACAGGACTACATCATCTGGTCGAGTATCAGTGGTGGGGTGTTTTACCCACTTGCCTCACTCCACTATGGTTTATTTATATGAAAGTATGTTTGTCACAGGACTACATCATCTGGTCGAGTATCAGTGGGTGGGTGTTTTACCCACTTGCCTCACTCCACTATGGTTTATTTATATGAAAGTATGTTTGTCACAGGACTATATCATCTGGTCGAGTATCAGTGGGTGGGTGTTTTACCCACTTGCCTCACTCCACTATGGTTTATTTATATGAAAGTATGTTTGTCACAGGACTACATCATCTGGTCGAGTATCAGTGGGTGGGTGTTTTACCCACTTGCCTCACTCCACTATGGTTTATTTATATATAAGTATGTTTGTCACAGGACTATATCATCTGGTCGAGTATCAGTGGGTGGGTGTTTTACCCACTTGCCTCACTTCACTATGGTTTATTTATATGAAAGTATGCTTGTCACAGGACTATATCATCTGGTCGAGTATCAGTGAGGGTGTGGTGGGGTGGGGTGGGGGTGTGGGGTGTTTTATCCATTGGCCTCACTTTACTATGGTTTATTTATATGAAAGTATGTTTGTCACAGGACTACATCATCTGGTCGAGTATCAATGGGTTTGTGTTTTACCCACTTGCCTCACTTTACTATGGTTTATTTATATGAAAGAATGTTTGTCACAGGACTACATCATCTGGTCGAGTATCAATGGGTTTGTGTTTTACCCACTTGCCTCACTTCACTATGGTTTATTTATATGAAAGTATGTTTGTCACAGGACTACATCATCTGGTCGAGTATCAGTGGTGGGGTGTGTGTGTGTTTTATCCACTTGCCTCACTCCACTATGGTTTATTTATATGAAAGTATGTTTGTCACAGGACTACATCATCTGGTCGAGTATCAGTGGTGGGGTGTGTGTGTGTTTTATCCACTTGCCTCACTTCACTATGGTTTATTTATATGAAAGTATGTTTGTCACAGGACTATATCATCTGGTCGAGTATCAGTGGGTGTGTGTGTGTGTGTTTTACCCACTTGCCTCACTCCACTATGGTTTATTTATATGAAAGTATGTTTGTCACAGGACTACATCATCTGGTCGAGTATCAATGGGTGGGTGTTTTACCCACTGGTCTCACTCCACTATGGTCTATTTATATGAAAGTATGTTTGTCACAGGACTACATCATCTGGTCGAGTATCAGTGGGTGGGTGTTTTACCCACTTGCCTCACTCCACTATGGTTTATTTATATGAAAGTATGTTTGTCACAGGACTATATCATCTGGTCGAGTATCAGTGGGTGGGTGTTTTACCCACTTGCCTCACTCCACTATGGTTTATTTATATAAAAGTATGTTTATCACAGGAGTCGAGTGTCAGTGGGGATGTGTTTTATCCACTGGTCTCACTTCACTATGGTTTGTTTATATGAAAATATGTTTGTCACAGGACTATATCATCTGGTCGGGTATCAGTGGGGGTGTGTACGCCCAGGATAAAGACACGTTCGCCTTCGTAGGGCAGAGCTCCAGCCATAAGCGGTTCCACGGCATCACCATATACCACACGTCGTCACAGCCGCTGTCCCCAAGTACGTCCACAGTCACATGCTCACATACTAGACATACTTAGGTAGGATACATCACATCAGACATGCACTAGAATATGGTGTATTTCACACTCCTTGGTGACGACACATTCAGCTGATCATTTCAGTCTAATTAGGTATATCGCACACACACATATGATACACACACACGAATATGGATATTTCACACATACTGAATACATCACCCATTATGCCTTGCACAGATACTGACTACATCACACACACACACACGACTATTATGTATTTCACACATATCTCATAAAACAGCACATGAATATGAAATAAATCACACGAGCTACATATCACACACTAGAACATGGAAGATATCACAGACCTAATTCAGCGGTACTGGACACCACGCTAGGATATAGTCACACGTGTTTTAACTTTAGCCTTAAAGGCGGACTGTTATCAATGTAATGGAGGTTGGTTAAAGGGCTTTTAAACTTTTCCGGTGATAACTAAACAATACCATATGTTATGTCTGCTGTAGCAGTGCGTAAATGATTTCCTGCTGCTAGAGATGGCAAATACAGATTTCTGACTACAGATAACTGCACACGGAACAATGGCGGTTGTAAACAATTATGTCTGCCCAACTTGACCAATCAAGGTCGTAGCTGCAAGTGTACTGTCGGGTTCTGGGTACAACAAGATGGATCCTGTGTTAAAGGTCAGTCCACTGCTTGATACTTAATTGACCCGTGATGCTTTTGGCCTTATCGTTTTGCCCATCTTGTGTTTTTTAACCTTTTCAACTTCCGAGTATATGTTTGCATTTTCCCATTCCCGTGTACATCCACTCGAACTTGTCCATGAACGATGTGCGTAGGATTTTTTTGAGTTAATTAATCGTTTCAGATTATGTGGTGTACCTGTTGAATCCCTCTTGTTAAGGTACACGAGCAAGTGTTTTGTGTTCATTTTAAACCTTTGTCCTATACCTTTGGTTATATCCCCTAGCCACCTTGTCTTCCTCACGACTTAAACCAACTCTGGAAGTATTATCGACAGACGACGTCTGCTATCTAAGGGACGCAACCCTGTACCGTTATGTGTGACGCTCCTGAACCACTGGACCAAATGTTTTCAAGCTCCAATTACTGACTAGCATTCCGTCCACATATTGCAATTTTCAAGCTCTGCAAACCAAAAACCTGCATTGTAGAACGTTTTCTGTTAAATCTGGTTGTATTTCTATTTCCAATTCCTTGATGCAGCACATGCCCCTTATATATGATAGTTGCAGTACTCATACCGCTTGTAGTTCTGTCTTCTGACGCCTTTTGTGTCTGTCTACTGGGGTATATAGCTACTGATAACTCTTGTGTCTGTCTACTGGGGTATGGCTGCTGATTATCCTTTTGTCAATCTACTGGGGAATATCTTCTGATGCCCCTTGTATTTGTCTATTGTAGAACAAATAGTGATGAGTATAAGACAAAATATTATGACCCGTGAAGGTCCGGGTTAGAATGTATCTTCAGTAACCCATGCTTGTCGTAAGATTCGACTAACGGGATCGGGTGGTGAGGCCCGCTGGCCTGGTTGACACATGTCATCGTTTCCCACTTGCATAGATCGCTGCTCATGCTATTGATCACTGGATTGTCTGGTCCAGACTCGATTATTTACAGACCTCCGCCATATAGCTGGAATATTGCTGAGTGCGGCGTAAAACTAAACTCACTCACACACATATATTATGGATGTCAACTTCCAAGTACATTCATAACATTTTACTTTATACTTGAATACCAACTTCTATATGTCTCTCAGGAACCTCAACTGGTTCTACTGATGATTTTATGTTTGTCTACTGGCACTGTATATTCAGCGCAACTGATGGAGCCCTACCTTGTGTTCCCTGACGAACGCCTCCAAAACATTTATCAGGGATCCCTCATACTGGACATGTACGGCGTGTTCCCGCTCCAGTCGCTGTCAAGGGTGAAGGACGTGGCAGTGGACGCTGTCGAGAAGAAGGTAAATTTCTTTTGGTATTTAACGTTCCACTCTGCAATTGTCCAGCGTATATCACGGCAGCATATCAAACAGTCGGGACCAGACAGTGATTGATAAGCAAGGAGCCTGCTGTCGGGGCAAGGGACACGCTGTCCGATAACCGATAATAATCCAAACGCTAAACCACAACTAATCCAGGCAGTGGAACAGTGTGCGCTTACTTAGCTCCCAGGCAGTCGGAAGTCACATCTTACCTTACTCAGCAGCGGATGCTTGTAAAATATTCCCTATCCTATGACGGTTAGAGGTTACAAAGGTTCGCTATAGAACACTATAATAAGGTCAATGGTTCACATGTAAACAGTGGTCACTGCCGTGCAGTGTGCACCAACCGTGGTCACAAGTTATATGCGCCATTTGGCCTTGATGACACACAATGAGCCAGTTCTGACCTTGGTCCCTGACGGGTACTACTGTTTGTCCTACCATAATGTAAATACTGAGAACACATGTTTCCTCAATACTGAGAACCCTTGTACCCTCAATACTGAGAACCTCTGTCCTCTCAATACTGAGAACCTCTGTCCTCTCAATACTGAGAACCTCTGTCCCTCAATACTGAGAACCTCTGTCCCTCAATGCTGAGAAACCAATCTGTCCCCTCAATACTGAGAACCTCTGTCCCTCAATACTGAGAACCTCTGTCCCCTCAATACTGAGAACCTCTGTCCTCTCAATACTGAGAACCTCTGTCGCCTCAATACTGAGAACCCTGTACCCCTTAATACTGAGAGAACGCTGTCGCCTCAATACTGAGAACCTCTGTCCCTCAATACTGAGAAATTCTGTCCCCTCAATACTGAGAACCTCTGTCCCCTCAATGATGAGAACCTCTGTCCCCTCAATACTGAGAACCTCTGTCCCCTCAATACTGAGAACCCCTTTACCCTCAATACTGAAAACCCCTGTACCCTCAATACTGAGAACCTCTGTCCCCTCAATACTGAGAACCTCTGTCCCTCAATACTGAGAAACCCCTTTACCCCCTCAATACTGAAAACCCCTGTCCCTCAATACTGAGAACCCCTGTCCCCTCAATACTGAGAACCTTCTGTCCCCTCTGTCCCCTCAATACTGAGAACCTCTGTCCTCTCAATACTGAGAACCTCTGTCCCTTCAATGATGAGAACCTCTGTCCCTCAATGCTGAGAACCCTGTACCCCTCAATACTGAGAACCCTGTCCCCTCAATACTGAGAACCTCTGTCCCCTCAATACTGAGAACCCCTGTACCCTCAATACTGAGAACCCTGTCCCTCAATACTGAGAACCTGTCCCTCCCTCAGAACCCTGTACCCTCTGAGAACCTCTGTCCCTCAATACTGAGAACCCTCAATGTCCCTCAATACTGAGAACCTCTGTCCCCTCAATACTGAGAACCTGTCCCTCAATACTGAGAACCCCTGTCCCTCAATACTGAGAACCTCTGTCCCTCAAGACTGAGAACCTCTGTCCCTCCTCAATACTGAGAACCTCTGTCCCTGTCACTGAGAACCCCTGTACCCTCAATACTGAGAACCTCTGTCCCCTCAATACTGAGAACCTCTGTACCCTCAATACTGAGAACCTCTGTTCCCTCAATACTGATGATGAGAACCTCTGTCCCTCAATACTGAGAACCTCTGTACCCTCAATACTGAGAACCCTGTCCCTCAATACTGAGGAACCTCTGTCCCTCAATACTGAGAACCCCTGTGTCCTCTCAATACTGAGAACCTCTGTCCCCTCAATACTGAGAACCTCTGTCCCCCTCAATACTGAGAACCTCTGTCCCTCAATACTGAGAACCTCTGTCCCTCAATACTGAGAACCTCTGTCCCTCAATACTGAGAACCTCTGTCCCTCAATACTGAGAACCTCTGTCCCTCAATACTGAGAACCCCTGTACCGTCAACCCGCTTCTGAATCGACTGAGGAGGCAGGTTAGAGGGGATACACTATTACATTTACATTTCTGTCAATACCTTAAGTCACGTCTTTTCGCAGATATACTGGACTGACTACCTCGGCGTCATCAACTGCGCCTACTTCAACGGCACTCATCAACATGTCGTCTTTGCTGACAAAATCGTCAGTAGGTATATCAACTAATCCTTTATTTGGCGTACACTCAAGGCCTCGGTGAAGCTTTCAGAGCCTCTATTTTGACTTGTAAGATAGGTTCGCGCACTAGTTATCCAGTTCAATCGTCTTACCTCTGAAGGTGTGTTTGTGACGGGTACAGCCTTTTAGCGAACGTCTGGTATCATTCCTGTTTCACAGCCATAAATAAATACGTGCTCCTGGTGCTGAGTTTGGAGAAAGTGTATAGATTCGACCAAGCAGTTTAACGAATATCGTTTAGATTACTCCCAGGATGTAGACATGTACTACCTTGTGGAACCTGTGAGGCTGATGCTCACACACAAAGATGTAGGTTTGAATCCGAGCCCTGTCACTAGTATAGGAGACACCGTGGTTGATATGGTGTGGATGATAGTGCGTTTGTTTAATTGTCACCACTCCCACTAGTCATACTCATTGTGTAAATATCATGACAGACCAGCTATATTCCATTGCTATTCCACTGCTAATTGTCTGTCCTTGGTATTGTACCCTAGAGCCTGTCAACATTGCTCTGGACGTGGCGTCGAAGCTGGTGTATTTGGTAGATAATCGGGGGAACATCGGCGTCGTGCACGTAGTCACCGGCGCGTACCAGGAACTGCTGGGGCGTGAAGTCATAAAGGCAAATGACATAGCATTGTCTCCAGAACGAGGGTAAACCTTTACACTCACGTCTACTCTTACACAGAACCTATGTCATCAGTAAGCAGTGTGTATAGTCAAGAATTAGTCTGAAAATAGATAGGTGATGTATGTTTCACTCTGACGCAATCACGCACCAAATGTTGACTTCTACTACCTATTACCTAGTTTCAGGAAGTGTGCTTGTCCTGCCCAGTCTCACGAACATTGAGTATTACGTATACATGCAAACAAACACAAGATTCTTGTACAGGTTGATGTTCATCTCGGGGCAAACCGAGGTACACAACGGCAGCACCAACGTCACGGAACGTCTGCAGTGTATCACGATGTCACACATGGATGGCACCGACCTGGAGCAAGTCGCCTTCGGTCTGGGCGAGCCAGGAGGAATCACTGTATACAAAGATCGTACGTAGTTCATGTCATGTTACCTACAGCAGTAGCTACAGGAAGATGCAATCCCGATACACCTAAAACATTGCCCCTCTGTCCCCTCTTGCAAAAAAACCCCCAAAAAACAAACAAAACAAAACAACAGCAACGATTGTTAAGAGTTCCTTAAGAATATCTGCGCTTGTATACAGCCGCTGTAAATTCCAATATGTAGTTAAATAATAAATAATATTAATTTATAGTTTAATAACAAACAGAGCTGTTTCTCGACGATTGTTACAAACTGCTGTCGAATGGCATGAGTGTTGCTGTACAATTCCACTTGGATTTGTGAGCGCATGGAGTTTGTGACATGTAGTAATGGTAGAACGATACATACGTAACCTTTCCGAGAACACCCGGTGTCACTACGGACACTCAGTGATTCTTTCATAACATGTTCCTGGCGGTGGGGTGGCTTAATGGTTAAAGCGTCCGCTCGTCATGCTGAAGTCCCCACATGGGTACAATGTGTGAAGCCCATTTCTGGTATCCCCCGCCGTGATATAGCTGGAATATTGCTAAACGTCGCGTAAAATCATAGTCACTCACTCACTCACTCACTCAAAATATGTTCATCACGTTTTGGCCGTTCACACCTATTGGGATCTGTTTCGGAAGGGACAATCATTATTATCATTATTGACAGCTCTTCATAGGTTCATACGTCGGACTGGCAAGTTGCAGCGTCTCAACCACTGCTTCAGAAGATCAATAGATTCACTTAAGGTGAAACTAGTATGTTAGGCTCGACTGTTCCTCCCCAGGTGTGATATGGGCAGACCGGAAGAACAAGACGCTGGAGGAGGTGAGGATGGGGTCCTGGAACCACACAGTGTTGGTGGAGAACATGCAGCAAGCTCCCGTTGACCTCGTGGCTCATAGGGACTACCTATACTGGACGGAGACAGGTGTCCGACGTGTTATGAGGTAGTTAACCAATGTCCTGCATCGTTACACAGAAAGGTAATTTCGTTACTCTACAAGTACTTCAAATAGCTGGTGACAGGTAATATAGTAAGAAATAATGAATGGTTCGTCTTAATCTTGATGTGTTGTCTGGTACAAGTATTCCAGAGGATACGATTGATACAAACGTCTCTCTGACAGCGGTTGTTACTGTTGATCACAGGACCCCACTGACAGACCCCATTGTCAGAGAGATCTACAAGCCGAGCCAGCGCTTCTTCAACCTGGGTGGGCTGGACGTGGTTTCGGACGAATTCAATTACAGTAAGTAACATATAAAGAATAAACGTCACACACTGAACATATTTACTGATCATACCAAACATACAAACATACGTCAGAAACTGAACATATATACTGCACAAATGTCACCTACTGAACATATATACTGCACAAATGTCACCTACTGAACATATGTACTGCACAAATGTCACCTACTGAACATATACACTGCACATACGGCACATATATGCTGTACATACGTCACACACTGAACATATATACTGGGAAACGTCACATACTGAATAGACATGTATACTTTTCCGTCGACAGGTGTTAATTGTTTCATAGCTTCAGCATAACACACATGAGATATACTACTGCTTCTGATGTAGGCTACTATTACTTCCTCCATGATGTTCCACTGCCTGTAGTAGTATACAGTACATATCGAGCAGGGAAGAGGGCATATCGGTGTATGTTCACGAATGTGCGCTGTCGTCCATTGCAGCATCAGTGTGTCAACGCCAGCACTGCCAAGACACCAGATTCAGACAACGTACCCGGACGTTGTCTACCATCTGCATCCCCACCCCCCGGGGCGCCGTGTGTGACTCGGACCCTGGCGAGAGATTTGACAGTGCCGCGTGTCACTTTGGGAGGAAGGACTGCAACGACAGGGAGAAATACATGGAAATGAGTAAGAACAGTGCACTGTACCTAGTATACAGGATCACACATGATTTATTCACTTTCTTTCCCCATTCGTTAACTGTTTCTCGAAATACAGGTCCCTCTGTGCTGTTCTCTGTTTGGCCGTGTACCCCGCGAGCCCAATCAAGGGACGCAACTCTTCCGACCTGTAGCCTGAAGTCCTTGCAACCTCTCTGGTCTATTTTTATGTGTCTACGGACCTCTTTAACCTGTGTTCAAATCTCAAACTAGACTTGAAGGATGCCAGCTTCGCAGGATGCCAGATATGTATTCGATACATTTTCCCTTCACAGCTTTCTGTCGAATACCCCCTCTGGGCAACGGCACTGTTCGCAACGTCACCGTTGGCTCCTATGTACCCAACACGTTTAAGATCCAGGTGAGCTGCAACCCTGGTTTCCGGCTAACGAAAGGCATCACTACACGCCATTCAGAGCACGACATCCCCCTGAAGCACGACGAGAACATGTGCTTGTCGACCGGCAAGTGGGCGGAAGAATACGAGTGTCAATTGGGTAAGGTGTGTGTGTGTGTGTGTGTGCCGTTTGGTTAAAACAGTCGCCGTGATATTGCTGGAATATTGTTAAGCGGCGTAAAACAAAACTCACTCACTCACTCGGTTACTAGGGTCCAGTGGGACTGACGGCGACCCACCTGTCAGGACACTGTGTCCCAACACAATATCAATCCACCAGCAACCTCTTCACAGTCTACATAGCATATGTAGAGAGTGGTATATACGTGTGGAACAATGCCGAGGTTTATGCTTGTATATCTTATGGGTTACTATCTGATAGCTGTCTGCAGTGGACAACTGTCGTTTTTTCGATGTCATTATTAATGATACTACCTGTGCCTTTTATAGACGTGTCCTACCAGATAGATGGAACATTCTCTCGTGGCTTCGTCAAGCTGTACGTCACATCCAAGTTTTTGGTTCCTCCCGGGATACGGACTTTGGACGTGATCTGCATTGGGGGTGGGGGCCGGGGGTACTCACACGGGCAGCGTGGTGGTGACGGTGGGGCGTCGATGTTCGGTGATCGTCTCAAGGCGTTTGGAGGACGAGGGGGAACGGCGCGGCATGGTGAGATATTGCTCATAGATAAATGACAACGCGTGTTCAGACATGTGGACACATCGTCTTACTGGGTTTCGTTCTGCGCACACCATATAGCCGCATGTACATGAAAGTACCAGTTCAGTATTTTGTAGTCAGTCATATTTTCTGTGGTCTTCTCTTAGTGGTTTAGCACTTGACACTCATACCCATGTCAAAACCTTTGATAATCGATTTGGAAATTTGACTGCATATTACGGGATTCTTTGGAACATATTGATTATCGGAAAAACTTTAATGTCTGACCTTTACTGCCCTTTACAATATAGCGTCAACCTTAATTAATTATATTCCCAGTTTGATAAGTTCTGTCAGGAAGGACAGAAAACAGTCCAGGGCCTCCTTTCACAAAGCACTATGGTGATCGTAAGTCACTAAGGTGAGCTTAGTAAGATATTAAAAAATGGGAGTTAAGGTTAACCTTAGTAAATGTTGCTTCGTGAAAGGAGCCCCAGGACTTCAGAGCCTTGACATATAACTGTCCAAGGACATTCTCAGTTCATAGAAATTAGGAAAACTAAATATCTCATGACTTTGTTTCTAAGGCGGTTCCGGCGGTTGGGGGTATCGCCACCTAGGCGGTCCAGGCGGGGATAACGGCACGTGCTGGTTCGGCGGAGCGGCTGGACAAATTAACAGGCATCCAAATGCCTGCGTCATCGGATCCACGGACTGTCCCTTCTGCGGCGCCGGGGGATACGGCAACACCACTGACTGCCCCGCCACAGACTGCGTAGTGCTCTCGGGCGCCTGCTCTGGGCCATGGGCCATCACTCGGAAAGGTCTGAGCGGGTCCGACTTCGGCGGGGGTGCTGGTAGTCTGTCAGGGGGGAGTGGCGGTGCTGCGGGCTACTCGAGAAGACGCTGGATGCAGGTGAAGCCAGAACAGATTGTGACGGTGACGGTCGGTGCAGGGGGCCAGCCGTCCTCAGCGTCCCCTGGTGACGGGATTGTTGTGGTGGCTTGGGGAGATAAGATAGAACACTTCCTTCCATCAAATGCTGATTGGAAGCGAAGATCATGCCATTATATGAATCCATCTTGTTCGTGCCTGAGAAACATGGGCACCTACCGACTCAGTAAACCAAATAGATATTTGTAGATACATGAACATAACCTACTTCACCTGCTTTGTGAACATTAATTTGTTAAGCGGATTTTGAAGGTGAAGGTTAGTGATTGTGACTTTACCTTTATCTCAGATGTGTTCATTCAGTGAGGCTGATTCAAGTGCCTTGAAAGTGCATAATTGTTTCCTCAACTCGCTGTACAGAATGTGATGATCATTGACTGGAGCATCCAAAGTCGTTGAAACTAAATGTTAGTTTACTTGTTGGTCAGCAGTTAACTCCGGTTGATTTTACGAAACTTGCAACCGTTGATCACGAAATGTAGTCACTCTTTTAATCAGAGCTTCCTGCTTGACGTATATGTCATTTGAATATAAATTATATTGCATCAACCTTTGTTGTATTGAATACATGTATGTATGTAGTGATTGGTGGACCTTGAAGAGGTAACAGTTTCAGTTAGCATAGATATCGTTGTTGTATTACTGGGAATGCGTACTGCATTGCACGGTATCATCAATAATACATGTTTTCCTGTTTGGGCACCCTAGAATAGGTCATCACCTATTCGCATACAAACGGTCAGCGTTTGAAAATATTTAGTTTTTTTATTCACACGTGTTTTAAAGAGTATTAACGTTTACACTTCTAAGCGAAGGCCTCACTGTTGTTTACTTAAAAAGTAAAGCTAGTATGATTTACCATTTTTTGTGTAGTTTTGGAAAGTAAACAAAAGCAAATATGATATGAGTTGTCCATTTCAGAACATGACACTGTTAATGGAATGGGAGTACGTGGTTTATGCTGTTATAAGTAACCTTACCAAATCGCCGACAGCATGAATGTCCCAGCTGATGTCCTTTAGTTAATATACAACTGAACACTTTCAGCTTATCATCAGCCCGCCGAACAAACGGCACATTTACTACCATCTGAGATGTTGCATGTGTCTACAGTCCGTTTGAGTCAGAAACGGACCGATGAATTGCAAATTTTATCATTGTACAAAATTGCCACATAAATATAAATAGTACACATGTTTATCATTTACTAATACCCAACAGCTTTGTTATATTTGAAATTTTCGGACTCCACCCAAAAGTTGTTTAAGAAACTATCATCATTGAAAACGCAAAGTTGTTATCTGTCGCGGCGGGTGAAACCGCAGAAACGGAACAGCCACTATCTCGTCGTGCACGGGATACATGCCTGATGAAAACTGAAGTTGAATGCTGACGTGAAACAGTTGATGATTAAAGAGTACGAATTTTCCGTGCTGAAGCCGAAAGGCTAACCATTTTATGCCGTTAATAAATTCCGTAAGCGGGCAGCAAAAGCTTTAGGAGTATATCAGCAAGGGTACTGACAAATGTTCTGGAACACAAACATTGTGAGGGTGATGCGAAGCAGGTAGGATCGTGTCAAAATCACACAAATTAAAACATTTGGACAACTTTCAAAAGAACCTTGTAAGGCAGTCTATCAACAAGCTCTATTCTGAAAACAAATACATGTCGCTGAAAATTTTTTAAAAGCATTTGAAGCAAGAACTTCCTCAGAGTATCAGCACACACTCTGGCGACTGTTACACTCTTTCGGGTATCGTTATAAGAAAATTTCGGGGGAGAATAGGTCAGTACTCTGTGAACGCCCTGATATCGTTCGCTTGAGAAATAATTTTCTCAGGGTTATAAAGAAGAAGCGCGAGAAAGGGTTCGAGCCATTGTACTTGGACGAGACCTTGGTCAATTCCCTCGCACACCGCCAGCGGTCAGTGGGTACCCGATGGGGTGATAAGGGGTCACGTAGAAAGCTGCCTCTAGGGAAAGGAGAGAGACTAATCATTCTCCATGCTGGTTGCTCCAGCAAAGGCTTTCTCCCAGGCTGCGACTTGGTATTCAGGGCAAAGTCCACAGATAACAGAGACTACCATTCCGAGATGAATGGTGCGGTTTTCCTCGATTGGGTTAAAAACAAGTTGGTACCAGCTCTACCAGAGAAGTCTTTTATCGTAATGGACAATGCCCCTTACCACAGCGTGCAGGACCCCGACAGTAAAGCCCCGACATCGAACAGTCGAAAAGGTGATATGATATCATGGCTCGACAAATTTCAGATCGCACGGCCTTCAAAGGCAACGAAGCCTCAGCTATATGAGATCATAAAAACCCACAAAGGTGAACCTTTCTACAAAGTTGACAGTTACATAAAAGTAAGGGTCACGATATTCTGCGACTTCCACCCTATCACTGTGACCTTAACCCCATTGAAATGATATGGGGTATTGTCAAAGGAGATGTTGCCAGATCAAACACAACTTTTAGATTACGTGACGTAGACACTGAGAGGATTTGGTTAAGGAATCCTTAACAAAATCACGACTGAAACTTGGCAAAACTGTATCAACAAGGTAGCTAACGTCATTGATCAAGCAAGGTTACTGGTCTCTGGATGGCTTACAACAGGCAACTGTGGCACCACTTGTCATCCCTTTAAGTCGTGACTATGACACTACGACAGACGAGGAACCGACAGGTCTCCCGGAATAGACTTTGAGATGTCCCCGCCATGACTGGCTGTTCCGTTTCTGCGGTTTCACCCGCCACAACAGATAACAACTTTTGCGTTTTCAATGATGATAGTTTCTTAAACAACGTTTTTGGTGGAGTCCGGACAATTTCAAATATAAGAAAGCTGTTGGGTTTTAGTAAATGATAAACATGTGTACTATTTACATTTATGTGGCAATTTTGTACAATGATATAATTTGCAACTTATCGGTCCGTTTCTGACTCAAACGGACTGTAGGTTGTCACTATGTGACACTGTGTCATGTTACATACATCCATGCTCTTACATTAGTAACACTGGGATATTATATCAACCTATGTTGTCACTGTGTGCTCTTACATTAGTAACACAGTGGGATATTATATCAACCTATGTTGTCACTGTGTGATGTTACATGCACCCATGCTCTTAAATTAGTAACACAGTGGGATAATATATCAACCTATGTTGTCACTGTGTGATGTTACATACATCCATGCTCTTACATTAGTAACACAGTGGGATATTATATCAACCTATGTTGTCACTGTGTGATGTTACATCCATCCATGCTCTTACATTAGTAACACAGTGGGATATTATATCAACCTATGTTGACACTGTGTGATGTTATGTACACCTGGTTTGTCACTCAAGAAACGTGTGATGTTATGTACACCTGCGAGAATGTCACACATGGTTTAAACTAGCGGCGAATCACTCACGCTCTTTCCTGAAGTTGATGAATCAAGTTTACGACGATCAAGGCCTCGGCAAACATTACAAACTGTTTTATTGTAGACATAAAGATGACATTCTTCATTCAAAACATCAGTGACAAAAATATGTCACATACAAAACCTTATTTTGACTTGTATCAGGTGAATAACCAACTGGCCTTTGTAGATGTTTGTGATATGTGCCATCGGTGGAACGTAAACCCTTCTCTCGTAGCATTACCATATGCCAGTGATTAATACACCCCCCCACCCCACCCCACTGATGACTCGGATGGATTCCGACGTGTGGACCTTTACCCTGACAGCAAAGGGAACCTGTTCCCTAGGATAGTCAAGATGGGTATTCATGCACAGATTCATTCGACAATTCTCAGAATGTATGCGCTTCTTTGAAATACAATGCAGATATAACGCTGATTCATGGCATGCATACAGGGAGGACTGATGTGGCGATATTATTTGTACATGCTTTGATATATAAATAAGTACACATGACATGTACAGTGACTCACATATTGGCATTTCCGACATGACACCAAAATAGCGACACGTCCACTTAGTAACCTAATCCCTTTAGCCCAGCGTTGTTTTTGCTCATCATTGTGCGCAGTGCCGACATTACAAAATGAGTGTGACTGTCAACTGCCTCCTCACTTTCCAGGGCCTGGTAAACTAGCACTGGTCACAGTGATTGTTGTTATGCCGACACAATAGACTGTAGTGTACACAAGTGTTCTGTTCCAGCCTACACTTCTGAATACAGACTAAAACCGTTGACAAACTTATGACAAAGCTCTGCTTCAAACTGTATTTTACGGATCAGATTATATGACAAACATGTGTTGATGATTCACTCGCACATAGTCATGACAACAGATGTTCGAGAAATGTTGCACCTGAGACAAAACCTTTAATAACAACGTCCACTGCTGTATCCATATATAGCGACCATTCAATATTTACCGGCCACAATAGGCTACATTATCTTTCACTTTTCGTGGAATGTTTTGTCATTCATTACTAAGTTGCTTTCTTATGTAATCAACGACAGGACACCAGTGATACTACCATGCACGGGGAAATATGTAAAGCATCTCTTGTTTTCTTCCTGTACTAACAGACAGCAGAATCTTTGGACTTGTACACTAAAGACATAATTCAATATTAACGTATCGCTTTGAGTGTTCTGAAGTAAGAAGGAAATCAATAAACAACTAATCACATTTCTGTGTTCGGTGTGGCTTTCACAACAAGCAGTTGGTGCAGATATTACAGGTAATATGGCCAGTTTTACCATGGCTTATACAGGAAGAGATGCTCTCTCTTGTACCATACACACAGATTCCAGAAACGATGTGGAGCAAGTTGGGTGTGAATGTCACTAACGCTACGCATGCCTTGACAGTGTTGCAAAGTGTTTCTCCACTTCATATTTTCAGATCTACACAAAGCTCATTGCCCCGTGCTTTCCCATACACATTCACATGTTAATTCTCCGTAGTTGATATATTTGTCTAGTACGCCTGATAATCCATACTTCCTGGCTACATCTAGTAGATCACGTGTTACGGAGCTGGTACTACGTATGGTAGTGGTGGCATACTGGGACAGTCTCAGAGAGAAGATTGACTTCACACAGGTTGTGTCGGCTGCTCTACAGAGTCGCCCCAGGAAGAGAAGCTTCATTTTGTCTGTTCTGTCCAGTACTTTCCATATTATGAGACTTAAGTCTACCATCCAATCTACAACGGTCGTTAACTGTTACCATCCAATCTACAACGGTCGTTAACTGTTACCATCTGATCTACTACGGTCGTTAACTGTTACCATCTGATCTACAACGTCCGTTAACTGTTACCATCTGATCTACAACGGTCGTTAACTGTTACCATCTGATCTACAACGGTCGTTAACTGTTACCATCCGATTCACAACGGTCGTTAACTGTTAACATCTGATCTACAACGGTCGTTAACTGTTACCATCTGATCTACGACGGTCGTTAAATGTTACCATCTGATCTACAACGGTTGTTAACTGTTACCATCCGATCTACAACGGTCGTTAACTGTGACCATCCGATATACCGGTCGTTTACTGTTACCATCCGATTTTACAACGGTCGTTAAGCGCTACCATCCAATCTACTACGGTCGTTAACTGTTACCATCCGATCGACAACGGTCGTTAAGCGCTACCATCCAATCTACTACGGTCGTTAACTGCTACCATCCGATCTACAACGGTCGTTAACCGCTACCATCCAATCTACTACGGTCGTTAACTGTTACCATCCGATCGACAACGGTCGTTAAGCGCTACCATCAATCTACTACGGTCGTTAACTGTTACCATCTGATCTACTACGGTCGTTAACCGTCACCATCTGATCTACTACGGTCGTTAACTGTTACCATCTGATCTACTACGGTCGTTAACTGTTACCATATGATCT